CGCGATACAGATTGATAAAACCAATACAATTCGATGACTGGATCAACACAGCTCATTTAATCAGTGATAAATGCAAAAGAGGTTACCTCCGTTGAGGTTCACTTGTTAGTCCCACCATTATCATCGAGGAAGAGCCGGCGATGAGACCTCCGATAGTCATCAAATACGGGGCCCATGATACGCTGGAGTTCCTTGTTTGGCTCTGCTTCGGTGAGGGATGCCTTCGTCGTGGCTGGATATGGTGACAAGGTACTGAAGGTGCGAGTGGGAGGGTCATGAGGCTCCCGACGGGAACGTTTCGCACAGAGCTACACCGTCGTCCCCGCCGAGTGAATATGTGCTCGTCAGCAGAGGCACCAGGTCATGCAGAACCACTCTTGTTGACCTGTCCGACAGGTCGTACGACAGGACCTGACAGGTCCTGTCGTACGATCCACCCGGATTAGGAATATTCCGTACAGTAACAATAGCTTCAAGTTGAGTCCTCCCAAGATTAGCCAATAACATAGGGCTCCAACGAATGGTAGCAGCTCCTTTACTGTTCTGATGGCGATGGTAACCGCCGGGTAGTTGACACAGACCCAGACGTAGCTTCACTGAGTGCTTCTGTCAGAAGCCTTTTGAAGCAGCAAAGATCTCCTCGAGCGGGTCACCAGTGATATCTCAGATATGACAATCTTGTTGCGTAGAGGAATTAATATCAGTGAACTCGCCTCATACCAGATAGACCGATTGAATCGCAGCTGCGAGTCTTCGAGGTCTCCCGAGCATAGGGTTGGTCCAACTCAACCAATCGGCTCTAGATATCGCGTTCGTGATGTGTAGAGTCACGAGTGAAGAATGAGAACCTTCTCTATCGAATGAATGAATCAGATAAGCCCAGGAATCCTGGGCCAGGAGTAGCCTCGCTATATTGGAAAATTTCACACGAAGGTAGAACTACAGAAACCAATCGTACAAAATCCTCGTGCCTCATCGGCATCACGACACAAAGTTGACCGTGTGCATCCTTTCCACACACTGGATTTACACAAACACACTTTCTCACCTGGTGTAATACCAGAGCCTCTTCTTCCCAGTAGACTCATCTGAGCTTGTGAAGAATACAGTGTGGCGAAAGTTCCGGTATACTCTGATGAAGCGCGCGTGAGATTTCAGACTGCTGTTGGTGACTCGATTCAATACCGACGAGAACGACATGGTTATTATAATAACTTCAAACATAATAGCTTTCGAATCACATCATGTCATTTCTCATGAGGGACACGACGTTCGGTTATTGCGCAGAGATGATACCAAGTTGATCGATATCATTTTACTTCCCAATTCAGTGTGTACATGATATGCTGATGCCTCAGTTAGGAGCATCCTTGTCAGTGCGGCCAGGGTGTATCCGCTTGTATCAACCTGTAAATTCGAGGCCACAAGCCTTTTTGCCGCGACCGTGAGTGACAGCGGGAATGCTTACTCCCAAAGACAATTATTGAACGATTGCTTATAGTTTATTCTTAGCTATCATGCTGAACTATCAGAACTGCCCACTGGGCAACTTTGTTGGAATGTGGTGAAGATGAGGCAGAAGTTCTCGATAAGGTTTTTTACACAACGAATCCGGTTCGTTGACTTTCCTGCATCGCTCCGCTCAAAAACAACGCCATTAAGTTCAGCATATTCTCGCCTACGAATACTCCCCGAATTAATGCTTAAAGCAAGATGTAACCTATACGGTTGAAAATTCTGGTAATCAGGTACACAACTGTCTCTACTGTAAGTCTTGGCATGATAAAAGCGCTGGTCGCTGAGCCAGATTACAACACTATTGTCATCGGAGCTGCTGAGCATAACACCATGCTTGTGCGGACAGTAATTCACAAGGTTTACAGTGTCATGATGGGCCGACCGGCCGACCCACACCAGAGGGGCTTCATTGGAGCTACCAGTAAGACTCCAAGTATACACATTGCCGTCTTCACCACCACTCGAAACGATTTCTCTCGATCCCAACACGCCTGAACACACATCTTAATCTTCGTCACAAACATCACTTACCATCTGGCATTATCATAAAAGGACTACTCTTAGTAGTATAAGCATGATGACCTCTCATCACAATAACTCCTTGACGATCTACACTAGCGGGACCATCGTTGTCAAGTGAAACGGGTAGGAGCACCGCCTCCATGTTTATGTCAAGGTCTGGCGCTAAGCTTGGTAGTGCCGATGGGTCCTCATAAAAACGCTCGGTCAAATCTTGGTTAGCAAATTTTCTCAAGTTGATGAGCAGTCCCTGGCCAGAAGGAGTAAGCCGGCATGCTAAACAACCTGAACACGAGTTGAGCAAGTTACGGTATGAAGATCACTTACATGCACTATGAGAGAAATCTATTATTTTCACTGCAGGAGAAGACAGTCTCACAGGAAACCGCGTACCTGCATACCATGTGAAAAAAAAATGACCAGCACATTGGAGTTTCATCCGCCTAACGTTAAGTGGCGTATTACTCCATGGAAATCATATGACATATATGTTTCCACGATCGATAACACAATTGTTTCCGCGAATTGAAATGTGTTATTCACTAGTGTTTTTATATCACGGGTAAAACTTTAGTGTGCTTACTTTTCGGCAATGGTTCGCTTATGGACATGCCATGTTTGAGGTCGATTAGGACAACCTGATCCATTATGGTCAGTTTAGTTCCGGTGAGACCAACCATGAGCTCCCGCTCAGCATCAACTGACAAGAAACGAAACCCTATGCGGACCTTTTTTGCATCTTACTAGTACAACCCTAAGAAAGCATGGAAAAATATGCACACGGTCAACTACACGTGCTGGTGACGATATGAAAATTCTGGGGGAAAATTTTTCGGAGAGTTTCATTGACTTCTGTCCGAATTCGCATGAGAACTTCTATACTACGCGAATAAACTCCCGAGCGCAGCTGAGAAAACCGAACATATAATTCACCAAATCTACCCCGAGAAATCTAAACTCTCACCTGATATGGCTCTTATCAGAGCTTGTCGACCGAGATTGACGTCGAATACAGCCGCCGGTGACGACGAAGACCTCGATGTTAGCTCAGTAGCTCCCCTCGCGTGATCTCAAAGCGTTGGGTAAGGCTCGCAACACCAGTCTCACGATCGATCGCGGGCACTATACGGCTACCTGAGCAGTACGGAAAGGTAGTCTCAATTCAAAGAGACTGTTCAGTATACGATCGTTGCTGATGAGTGATACGCTCAGATGTAGCGTGTAAGTCGTTAATTAACAGTTTGAATTGAATTGATCGGCAAGATAGTCTCCAAACACCGGAAGGATGGCGCCATATCACATGAAAAACGCATCACGTGTTTTACGCATTTTTCACTGCTCACATGCGTTTTCCGCCAAGTGAAACGTGAAATATGTTTTTCACTAGTCATTTCCATATTACGGTGATGGAATATATGTAATCGCTTTCCTCAGCTGAGCTTAGAAGAGTTTCCTATACAGTGTTGGAGTAGGAATATATGTTCCATTTCCTCAGCTGATCTCAGGAGTTTCCTATACAGTGTCGGAGTAGGAATATATGTAATCGCTTTCCTCAGCACCTGAGCTCAGGAGTTTCCTATACAGTGTTGGAGTAGGAATATATGTAATCGCTTTCCTCAGCTGAACTCCGAAGAGTTTCCTGTACAGTGTTGAAGTTGGAACATATGTACGCTTTCCTCAGCTGAGCTCAGGAGTTTCCTCAATAATTACAATATTTAACATTCAAATTCGGGTAAAAATGAAAATTTCCTCAAATTCCCCGGAGTTTTCATATTGTCACCAACACCTGTAGCTGATCGTATGCATAATTTCCCACCAGTCCAACACCATCATAGAATAAAGCTCATCAACACTTCCTCCCAAGAGGGCTTACTCGATACTATACACAGTCGATCATCTAGAGGGATTCTTCCGTCAAAGTCTTCAACGTTAATGCCACATGTATCATCGCGAGGCGGGTAAAACATAAAACCGCCGTACACGTCTCCAAGGGCCTGATCAGTGCAGGAGAATATGCACACAGTGAACCACATACGTTGATGACAATATGACATTTTTTTGGAAATTTTCACTGATTCCTGTACATTTCTACCCTAATTCGTATACAAATTTCTATAATTAGTGAGGAAACTCCAAAGCTCAGCTGAGGAAAGCGAACATATTTTCCTACTCCAACACTGTATAGGAAACTCCAGAGCTCAGGTGAGGAAAGCGATGACATATATTCCTACTCCAACACTGTATACGAAACTCCTGAGCTCAGGTGCTGAGGAAAGCGAACATATATTCCTACTCCAACACTGTATAGGAAACTCCTGAGCTCAGGTGCTGAGGAGAGCGATTACATATATTCCTACTCCAACACTGTATAGGAAACTCCTGAGCTCAGGTGCTGAGGAAAGCGATTACATATATTCCTACTCCAACACTGTATAGGAAACTCCTGAGCTCAGGTGCTGAGGAAAGCGATTACATATATTCCTACTCCAACACTGTATAGGAAACTCCTGAGCTCAGGTGCTGAGGAAAGCGATTACATCTATTCCTACTCCAACACTGTATAGGAAACTCCTGAGCTCAGGTGCTGAGGAAAGCGATTACATATATTTCCACTCCAACACTGAGCACATATCAATACCATCAAGCACGACAAGCAATCATCACTTACTTGAGGAACTACACTGATAAGTCTCGGTGGTCCACGGCTCGCCAGCAGGGCTTTCAAGTCCACCCAAAACCCAGGTCCAGTCGAGGCAATCAACAGCGAACTCGAATCTGGCGCCCATGTGATTCGGCCCGGGTACAGCTTCTCAGTGGTGTCCTGAGAAGCCCCGCGGGCCTGCATCGCAGATCCGCAATGTAATCGACCTGAATCACTCATAATTTTAGCAGAAAAAGGAAATTTTACAGAGCATTCGAGTAGCCATCGATCGGTCCCGAGCCCAACTCCAAGAAGAAGTGTCCATCATCACTTGCGGCAACCCAGGAGACGACTGTGATAAGTCCAGGAAGTCATAACAAACTGTTCGATCGAAATCAACATCGGCTGGATCGTCCGTGAGGGGATCGAACAGCGCATAAATAGCGCCTGAGAGAGGTATCGGGTTCGATCCCTGCATGTTGCATTTTTCTCATCACATGATCCGTCCCGACTCGCTGTTGCAACGAATTTCCCACACGGACTGAACTCAGCATAGAGAACCTCATCGTCGTGATCACGCAAAGCCAACAC